CGAATCTGATGGGATGGTTTTGCGTACACCATATATATAATATAAATAAAAATATTATAAAATTTCTTTTGTCCGAAAATAGCAGGTGCGATAAGTGATATTCTGCCAATAAATTGGTGGGGCTTTTTATAGTTTGTATGGATGGGGTCGGAGACGCGACGGACTCGGACCAGAAGAAAAAATAGTGGTGGGAATCATTAGACATGAAAAATTGGGATGAGTGGTGGGTATAAAAATCTGATTTTTGATCGGTTATTTTTCTACCTCAACGCGAATCTAATGGGATGGTTTTGCGTACACCATATATATAATATAAATAAACATATTATAAAATTGCTTTTCCCGAAAATAGCAGGGTGCGATAAGTGATATTCTGCCAATAAATTGGTGGGCCTTTTTATAGTTGGTATGGATGGGGTCGGAGACGCGACAGACTCTGACCAAAAGAAAAAGCAGCGGTGGGAATCATTAGACATGAAAAATTGGGATGGGTGGTGGGTATAAAAATCTGATTTTTGATCGGCTATTTTTCTACTGCAACACGAATCTGATGGGATGGTTTTGCGTAGCCCATATATATAATATAAATATAAATATTATAAAATTGCTTTTGTCCGAAAATAACAGGGTGCGATAAGTGATATTCTGCCAATAAATTGGTGGGCATTTTTATAGTTGGTATGGATGCGGTCGGAGACGCGAGGGACTCAGACCAGAAGAAAAAGCAGTGGTAGGAATCATTAGACATGAAAAATTGGGATGGGTGGTGGGTATAAAAATCTGATTTTTGATCGGCTATTTTTCTACCGCAACGCGAATCTGATGGGATGGTTTTGCGTAGCCCATATATATAATATAAATATAAATATTATAAAATTGCTTTTGTCCGAAAATAACAGGGTGCGATAAGTGATATTCTGCCAATAAATTGGTGGGCATTTTTATAGTTGGTATGGATGCGGTCGGAGACGCGAGGGACTCAGACCAGAAGAAAAAGCAGTGGTAGGAATCATTAGACATGAAAAATTGGGATGGGTGGTGGGTATAAAAATCTGATTTTTGATCGGTTATTTTTCTACCGCAACGCGAATCTAACGAGATGGTTTTGCGTAGACCATATATATAATATAAATAAAAATATTCTAAAATTGCTTTTGTCCGAAAATAGCAGGGTGTGATAAGTGATATTCTGCCAATAAATTGGTGGGCGTTTTTATAGTTGGTATGGATGGGGTCGGAGACGTGACGGACTCGGACCAGAAGAAAAAGCAGTGGTGGGAATCATTAGACATGAAAAATTGGGATGAGTGGTGGGTATAAAAATCTGATTTTTGATCGGCTATTTTTCTACCGCAACGCGAATCTGATGGGATGGTTTTGCGTACACCATATATATAATATAAATAAAAATATTATAAAATTGCTTTTGTCCGAAAATAGCAGGGTGCGATTAGTGATATTCTGCCAATAAATTGGTGGGCCTTTTTATAGTTCGTATGGATGGGCTCGGAGACGCGACGGACTCGGACCATAAGAAAAGGCAGTGGTGGGAATCATTATACATGAAAAATTGGGATGGGTGGTGGGTATAAAAATCTGATTTTTGATCGGCTATTTTTTTACCGCAACGCGAATCTAATGGGATGGTTTTGCGTACACCATATATATAATATAAATAAAAATATTATAAAATTGCTTTTGTCCGAAAATAGCAGAGTGCGTTAAGTGATATTCTGCTAATAAATTTTTATCATCCAGCATGAATAAAAGCAAACTTTCAAGATAAATTTTTTACTAAAAAATGTTCTAATTTAGACTAAAAATTATCTAGGAGTGTGATTTCAGCAACCTTATAGTCGAATCAATGAGACGACCTAATGACGTTAAAATCGGTCTAATTCAAGTCTAATCAAACCCAGATCATGTTGTTGAATCATTTTTTAAGGCTTTATGAGTATAATTGAAAGATCAAACATGTTTCAAATATGACATGTTTATAGTCA